TAGAGGAGTGGAGTAGCTAGTTTGGTTTAGCATGCGATAGGGTAACCTATTGGGCTATTGAAGATTTTATGGATACCCCCATCTATTTTTTAGCTATAAAACCCAACACTCTTATCTTTATATAGCAAGTAATCATTTCTTTTTGAAATGCTAATACGGTAAAACCCGGATAAATATATGAAATCGTTTGTAATAGAACTTGTACCAACTATATTTGATGAACAAATTTATGTTTTTATAATTTTGGGTTGATTTTGGAAGAGTTAAAAGTGGATTGGAAATGGAAAAATAGGAAAAAGGAACAAGACTGCCAAAGGGAACCGGTACGCGTACCGGCACTCCGAAGACCAGTAGCCATACCGTACCAGTACGCCCGACAGATTCCAGAAATTTTAAGTCGCGATCTGGGTCCGATTCTTTCCACTATAAATATATAAAGACGTCTCATTTAGCCCCATTTCAACACCTCAAACCCTAGAAAACCTTAGAGAGGAAGAAAGGAAGAGAACAACACAAGATATAAGGGGATTTGCGCCTTGGATTGAATCAAAACCCTAGATTTCTTCAAGAACACCAAAGTAGGGGTTTTCTTCCATTCTTGTCCATTGATGCTAGGGCGTATGTATATACATGTTTTTGACTCTAAAGCTTATATATATGCATGACAAACCTTGATTCTTGATATTCTTTCAAAAATTATCATTTTTTAAACAAAGTTAGAGTAGATAACCATGAAATCTCTTTTCTTGGTATAAAACCCTAGTTTTCAAAAGTAATGATTTTTTTCTTGATTCTTCATTTGTTTTTGATTTAAAAACTCTAGTGCTTTATATTGAACAATAAAATGTTATGGTTGATGATCTCTTGCTTTATTTTCTTCGATTGCTTTATAGTAATACTACATGAAAATTTGGGGATTTTGAAATTGGATTGTTATGTGAGAATTTGTTGGGGATTGTATCTCTTGAGGATGTTGGGATGACCATGGGTGCCCGTTGATCGGGTATCGTAGAGTGGGTAGACTCGTTTCTTACTCCATGTGAGTTTGAATTTTTTCTACCACTCATAGTGGGGTTGGTGTTTTGTGAGGACCAAACCANAGTGGGTTAGATGCATTTCTTATTCCGTGTGGGTTTGAAGGTTCCCTATCACTCGTAGTGGGATTTGGTGCCTTGGGAGGATCAAACCACTATTTGCTCATGTGTTATCGAGATTGAGAGTTAGTATATTATTTCTGATTTGGATTCATCACTGCCATGAGTTGGTATACGCCCTTCCTAAAGGTTGAATATTCTTGCGAGGATTTGGATGTGTGTGTGGGCCAGGATATTCTCGATGTGTTTATTCATGCGAATCATGCATCATACATGAGATACGAATACAAGTTGTGGATTTATGGTTTATTGTACCAGAAATGGTTTTTCTACAAGAGTTTGTGGAAGTATGGATTCTACAAGAACTTGTAGAAAATGGTTTATGGTTGGAAATGATTTTTTATTTGTAATTGGGCGTTATTACTTCACTTAATTTATTGCTATTGTGTAAACTTAAGATCTATTGAAATGTTCCTATTTTCTTTCAAAAATTAATATATGATATTTGCGAAATAAGACTGGCTTATTTTACATGTTTTTTAAACCTTGTTCGAGTTTGGGAGAATGTTGGTACAGAACTTAGTGCTCACCCCCTATAAACAATAATTATTCTCAGATTTCGGTATGGAGGAAGAACTAGGAGGTGATGAACAAGTAGCTTGGGAAGCGTCATTGGATGAAAGCGTGGATCCCGAGGGAGGATGTCTACAGTTGATCTCCCCATGTCCTAAACTAGGAGACACCTTTTGATACAATGGATAGATGTTATTTTGTTTATTCCGCTGCAAGTTTTAAGTTTGATTTTAAGTTGTAATTACCATTATTTGACATACTCTTTTTGGACGTAGATACCATGATTTGACATATTTTTTTGGGTGATGTTGTAGATTTTATGTATGATAAATGAAATTTATCTTTTTATGGATTTTGTTAGTTGCTCTCATGATGTGAATGGTTTAATTAGTAATGCCGTTCGAGGTGGATTTTTGGGCGTTACAGGTTTGGTATCAGAGCCTAGGCTTTAGGTCTTATATGGGAGCTATAGGTTATGAATTACCACTAGAGAGATAGGATTAGGTTGAACGAAATTGTGGATTTAAAATTTTATTCAAGCCATATACTTTAGATTAAAGTGATAGTTAGGATGTTTTGTACATCAATGAAACTAAATTGTAAATTGATATGCAGGATGGAGGGTGAACGTGAACATGGACGTGGACGAGAACGTGAACGTGGACGGGGACGTGGACGTGGACGTGGACGTGGACGGGGACGGGGATGTGGACGTGGACGTAGTGGCCCAGCAAACCCACCACCACCACCTCCAGATGCCATGAATGGCATCTATCAACGCCTAAGGGAGCTAACCACTCTGGTACAACGCCAGAATAGAAATAATAATCAGTGACGACAGAACTTCGTGAGGGGAGGTCTGATCAGGACTGGTGCTAGCAGCAGTGGAGTTACACAAAGGGCAGCTCTGTACTGCCGACCTGACCAAGCTTCGGGGCAAAGGAATCAAGTCGTTCGAGGAGCTGGGGTTACTCGGAACAGAGCAGACACTGACCCACATCAATGCTTCGCATGTGGAGGGTTCGAGCACTTCAAAAATAACTGCCCATCGATTCCACCAAAAACCAATCAAGTAACGGGACAAGTACATGCAAATAAGCCACCACGACAGAAGCCATTACAGCTGAAACCATTTGGGGCTATAGACCCAGGCAGTACTAAGCAAGAAAGAGTTTTTGCTTTGACCCAATCAGAGGAAGACGTTTCCGATGCAGTTGTTGAAGGTATCTTTCTTCTTTAAAATTCTTGGGTCTGAATTTTATTCGATCCCGGTGCTACTCATTCATTCATACGCACTACATATGCTCTTCATTTGGGATTGGACTTTGAGAAGCTAGAACATGCCTTGAGTATTGACGTGCCTACAGGAGAACGGTTGGATACTCAAAGGGTGTGTAGAGGTTGTATGCTTCGAATTGGGGAGTATTAGGTGAGGGTGAAGGAAACTCTAGGCTTGACTTTGTTTGAAGTAATATGTTTATAAGATAAGTGTGATTGGTTGTTTAGTTAGGTTATGGATTGATTATTTGTTCGAATTCTTAGATTACCTAGCTTAGAGGTGTTGGCAAAAATTTTGAGATGGATATGCTAGTTTTATATCCCGTCGTTATGGACTATTCTTGGAGACGGATGGTAATTTGGCTTTTGGTTAATAAATAATGCTAAGCATGAATCTTTATGCAAGTCATACTATCTATATTGGAGATGAGTATGAGATATGATTAGTGACAAAAGACACGCAAACTCAAGTTGAATAAGTATAGCAGAACCAATCAGTCTAGCAGACTACCTTTCATTAATTTGATCATAACTCTTTGTTAGAAAGTCCAAATGGTGCACCGTTTTTTTTGTAGAATCCTAACTCGTATATCTTTCCAACGATATAGGTCACACATGCTAGAAATACCTTATCTAAATCAATTTATTCTTCGAATTTGATCAAAAATTTGAGATGTAGTATTCCTTGGATAGCAAAATGTTGTACATTTGGATGACGCTGTATTCACAAATCAAATGTCTTAGGCGTGGGGTTAGTTATAAGAGATGACTAGGGTTACTTTGCAGAGGCATTGTCTAAAATGATAGTTATGAGTTGTGATATTCATAGAGCAGAAACTATTGCAACAAAAATTGCGATCCAATTTGCAAGACAACAAGAATTAGTAGAAGTCTATTAGGAGTGGTGATGGAAATTTTGATCCTCTCAAAATCATCTTACAAGATATTAATAGTATAGCGAGAAGCTTTCACTCCTTTGAAGTATCCAGAGTTCGACACAATGGGAATAAAGTAGCCCATAAATTAGCTCGTTTTGTTTTTCCATTAAATAGTAGCATTGTATGGCTGGAGCTCCAGATTTTGTTATGCCTCTCATTTTTTTTGACATTCCTTAGTAATAAATTCCTATTGTTGCATCTCAAAAAAAAAAAAAAAAAATTACAAAATGGAAGAGAGAGCTAACCTGTGGAATGCTATCAAATCCCACATCGGAAAGATAGAGGAAGATAGATGGAGCATGCGACCTATAAGATGTATGTATCAGCCTTTGCAAAAAGATTACTTTAGCTGGAAGGCCTAATCAAATGAGTTAGACCTAGGGTATGTTTGTTTTGAGGATAGTTATATATGGTATTGAGAAATGTATTGTTTATATTTTCAATAATGAAAATTAGTATCGGTAATAGAAAGTATTCTAATTTTCTCTCATGTGTGTTAGTTCAATATGTGTGTTAGTTCAATATGTATTATAGTAGGTCCCATAAACAACCATTTATTGTATCCAATCTTGTATAACAAATATACAATTTTATCGTTAACATCATTTATTTCATTACTCTGTTTTATGTAACATTTTTGCATAATATTTGGTATAATATATGGTATGGTAATTCGTACGCTTAAGCATAATACAATAAAATAATTTAAAATAATTTTTTTTTCAAAAAATTAAAAAATTAAAAAAAAACCACTGACACCGTATGTTTAAATATAATATAAAAAAAATTCAAAATAATTTAAAAAAAAACGGTGATACCGTACACTTAAATATAATACAAGAAAAAAA